GGAGGAGAGCCGTAGCGCGGCCGCCGTGCCTCAGGCGGGGAGGCGTTCGGAGAGGGTCTGCCGGCCGCCCCCTCTGCCAGCGGGCTCTATGTGGGACCGGGCTGGCCATGGAGAAGCTGTGCCTCGCCGGGAGCGGCGCATGGACCATCAACAGCTCTCTGGGGAACGGCAGCCTCCGCCCGGAGAAACAGACCTCCCGGAGGAACAGCACCACGGACCCCCTGAAGAGGAACGAGGACATGGCCAAGGTGGAGGTGACGGTCCTCTGCCTCATCCTGTTCCTCGCCCTGACCGGCAACCTGTGCGTGCTGCTGGCCATCCACACCACCCGGCAGAAGCACTCCCGCATGTACTTCTTCATGAAGCACTTGAGCATCGCTGACCTGGTCGTGGCCATCTTTCAGGTGCTGCCCCAGCTCATCTGGGACATCACCTTCAGGTTTTATGGGCCGGATTTCCTTTGCCGGTTGATCAAGTACTTGCAGGTAGTGGGGATGTTTGCTTCCACCTACATGCTCTTGCTGATGTCCCTGGACCGGTGCTTGGCCATCTGTCAGCCACTGAGGTCTCTGCACAGGAGGGCGGACCGAGTCTCTGTCCTCCTCACCTGGCTGCTGTGTCTGCTGGTCAGCATCCCTCAGATCCACATATTTTCTCTGAGGGATGTGGGGAATGGGGTTTACGACTGTTGGGCAGATTTCATCCAGCCCTGGGGACCTAAAGCCTATGTCACCTGGATAACCCTCATGGTCTACATCATCCCTGTGTTGATGCTGAGCATCTGCTATGGCTTAATCAGCTTCAAAATCTGGCAGAACGTGAAGCTTAAGACGGCTCACGGACCGAACATGGGTCTGAGCTCCAGCTCCCACAGTGGGATGGCGTTTGCCAGGGTCAGCAGCACCAGGCTCATCTCCAAAGCCAAGATCCGGACAGTGAAAATGACCTTCATCATAGTGTTAGCTTTCATAGTGTGCTGGACTCCCTTTTTCTTTGTGCAGATGTGGTCTGTGTGGGACACGAATGCTCCGCAGGAAGGTATGTCCTCTCCCCTCCCATAGCCCTGCGGTTGCACGGACCGCTTAGCTCAGCGGCCGCAGGGACACGGACAGTGGGCTCGGGGGCTGCAAGTGACAGCCAGAACCTGCTCCGTGCGTGGTCTCAGGGGGCTGCGAGGGGGACAGGGAAAAGTCCTGAACGTGGAAAAACGACCTGACAGGCAGCAGTGGCTGTGCCTGATCTTCCCTGGTGCAGGCGAGGGCTAGTGTAGCCCCCGGCAAATGCCGGGCCACCGCAGCTCAGGGGCAGGGCTGCGGGGATGGTGGCTTGGGAGGCTTTCACTCCCCCCGGCTGCGAGAGCTCAGCCCTGCCGGGGCCGCTTCAGGGTCCCCGGTGGTTTGATTGCCCAGCCCGGGTGCTGGGGCGTGCTGGGGGCTGCGTGGGTGCTCAGCCCCCACTGGTGCCCAGGGCTGGGGCGACCGCAGCAGAAAACTGTGCAGCGTTACCGCCCGACTTCTTTTGTTCTGCTGTGTCGTTTTGTCCTCGCTGACTTCTTTGCTTTCTACTCTTTTGCCCTCTTTTCCCTCTCCTCGTCTCCCGTTTCCATCCGCCGCGGGACTGTGCTGCGGTTTTTATCTCTGACTGGAGCACGGTTCCTGCAGAAAGCCACTGAATTACGAGCAAAGGCTTTTCCTAAAGGACATGGTGTCACTGATTTATTATTTTTTATACTTGGTGCTGGCTGCTCCTGTCATCGCTAAGGTTGCAGACAGAGTAAAATATATTACCCTCTTTGGTCTCGTGCGCTTGTAGCTGTGCGAGTCTGTGCTGTCCCCGGGCGGAGGTGACTGGTGATCCCTCTGCACCCACAGGGCAAACTGGCCAGGAAAGCTTGAGAGAAAAACTCTACAAGTCTGTGAGGTGGGAGAAAGGGCAAAAAAGTGCTTCCAGGGAGAGCTTGTCCTTGGACAGACTGAGTCAACAGAAGTGCTGCGTCTGGGATGTTGAAGACCGATGGGGAGCTGCGACCCCCTCCCGGCTCCCCCGGCAGCCCTGCCGCGGCAAGGGCTTCACAGCGGAGGGACGGCTCGCTTGCACCGTGCACTCTTCTTTAACCCTATTCCAGCCGTACACTGCTCTGTGGAAAACCTGGCGTCTCCTGCAGCCTGCACACATCTGTTCTCCCATAGACCGAAGCTGGTAGCCTGGCTCCAGCTCCCCTAACTTGCCTTTATTGCTTCCCCGTGCTGCTTTTATTTCAGGTGGAGAAGTGGAGCTCAGCTTTTTAAACCTCCATAGGGGCTCCAGGCAGCCGTCTCTTGTTTTTCCACCTGATTTAGGCTGGTTGAAACTTTCAGTTTTTAATACGCCCTGGGATGAAGCAGCGTCTCTCCCTTTTGCCGTATTTCAAACGTGCAGTCGCGAGGGCTTCCACCTGACCCGTCAGCAAACAAACCGCCGCCGCTCTGCTGGCTCCTGCGGCGAGCAGCGGGGGGAAGGCCGGGGTGTTCGCGGATCACGCCCTCCCTGCTGCTCCGGGAAAGTTTCTCTTGCTCACCCTGTGCATCGGCCCTGCGACGGCTTTCCTTCTCTGCTTTGCTTTTGCGCAGCGAGGAAAGCTCCAGCCGTGCTGAGTTGCAGCAAACTCCCCTTTCCTTCACGTTTCTGTTGCTCAGGGGCCCGTGTGTGCGGTAAAGGGTGGGAGTTTTGCCAGAGCATTTGTGGAGGCTTTCATGGCACGGGGAGGAGAAGCCTCGGGTGGGTCACTGTGGATAGCTAGTGCCGGGAGACCCCAGCCCTTCCTCCCAGGCCCACCCTCCTCCTCGCTGGCTGCCCAGAGGCGTGAGAGGGGTGGCAGACCTCGCTGCAGAAGAAACGGGCTTTGCCTGCTGCGTTCCTGACCGTTGCTCTGCGTCCCGGATCTCTTCACACCGAGGCTTGGGCTGCCTTGGCCGGGCAGCATCGCGGGGCGCCCGGCAGAGGTGTACCCCGCGGCAGAAGGGGAATCTGGCCGTTTCTCATCCTGCAGGCTTTGCAGTCTGCATGGGCAAAAGGTCCGAGAGGGAGGGGAGCAGGCGGGCAGGGCACTCGCTGCGCAGCACCGACGGGCTGCACCGCGGGGGGTGACGAGCAGATCACAACAGCAGTGCGATGGAGCGTCGCCTACTTAGGACATGTTTAGTTTTCTCCATGTACGATGTCACGAAGAGAGTCCCTGGCAAGGGGAAGTCTGCTTATACGTAAGTGAATCCTAATTAATGCTGAGCAGGCAGCCTGCAGTTTTCTGCCTGTGCATTGCATCCCGGAGCGTGGTGAGACGCAGATCTCGGGTGTTAGCAGAGGGATGCGCAGCCCTTGGGCTGCTGCGGGTAAAACACCCGTACCGCTCCTGCCCGGCACCTGGCCCGGCGTGCCGCGGGCCGTGCTTTCACCTCCGCAGGGTGCAAAGTCTGCTGCGGTTTGGCGAGGAGCAGCCCTCCTTTCCCAGTTGGTAAAGCGATAGTCAGAGAGGTTTCACCTACTGATCCACTTCAGTAGCTTTCTACACGGGTCTTCCTCACTTCATATAAACAGCTGAAATAAAATAAAGCAAGTGAAGCGCAGCAGCTTGGGGTCCCACGCTGCTGCCCGCCCACATGGC